CAAGGCTCCTCATGGATCTGGAAATTTGGTGGTACAGAAGCAGCTCCTTCTCTCAACTGCTGCCAAATATCCGGACCTGTGGGGAACCCTGCAGGCTGGATCTGGTCTGCAGGCCAGGGGTACACCCCCGGTCTAAACTCTACCACAGATTATCTATATTTTCATTCTAACACATTGAAATAGCTCATCTGCTAAAGAGGATTACGTTGAAAACTTGTTTCTTATTTTAAGAAAGGTCAAAGTAAAGAGTATTAACAGAAAATCCCAAAGAAATGCTAGCAATTTCTATTCCATTACAAACTTAGATATCTTAACAAGGCATTGCTGACCACTGAACAAGTTCTCATTTTTCTTCATGTAAGAATCTTACTATGCTTTATGTATTTTATCTTATCACTCCCCTACATTAATCAGGAGAATGTACTCCCTTTCTAAATGGCCTTCTCAGTTCCAGTCAAATCACTGCTCTTTTACTACTTTAAACCTACTGTTTTTCTGATCTTAGAAGAGATATAAAGTATTTGAGGGGAGAAGGGGAGGGAGTGAATCAAGGACACTTCTAATTAAAAAGGAACAGATTCCTTTCCTGTCCTCACTCGTGTTTTTTGCTGACCTTTGGATGACTACTTCATAAAAGTTAGAGAGAAGATAAGGAAAATAGTGACTAAAAGTGGAAACATTTTCTATCTTAAAGGATAAGTACACGTCTGTAAATACAGCACATTCCTCTCAGCTGGTACAGCTAGGTGGAAACAAAAATATGTTAAATTACATTTTGTTCTGGATTGTTACCATAAGCTGAAGATAATATATGATGGCAGTTAGTTCTGTTATTCCACAAGACACTGAAAAGTGATTAGTGTGGAAAAGAAAAATAAAAAAGTTTGTTTTTCCTACTTTGTCATGTTCTTTTTTAAATGATCACTTTTATGCCTTCTTTTTAAATCAAATTATATGTTTTGCATCTGTGTTTCTGGTTTTGGTAGTTCATTAGAAAATCAAGTTTGTTGCTGTTTTTTTAGGGGATGGCTTCTGGGTCACTAGAGGACTAACAAGATTATTACAGGATACATGCTGCAGGGGGAGGGGTTGGGACATATAAAAACAACATGTATAGGAAACTGCCACAGGAACCCTTGCATGAGGTAAGAAGGAAAAGTGGTATTCTGCCATATCATATTAGCTCCGCAAAACTGTGAAGATTCGTAATCCTTTCTACCTCTGCTGCTGCAGAGATGTGTGAAGTTGTGCATCAGTCAGCAGCAGAATAGAATTGAGCCAGCAGAGTGCCTGTGCCAAAATGCTTCTGCATGGCAGATCTGTGGATCTTCAAAAACCCTTTCATTTGGGAAGCCAAATCTACTTTCTATTTCACATAAGTTCCACCACCAAAATCACTACAAATGGGAAGCACCTATACAAGAGGAGCATGACCTCAAAGCCTTTGGTTCAGAAAGAACATTTAAAATTCTTTCTGCAATTAGCAGTTGAGCCTGTTGTACTGGCTTAGTAGGAGATTAGTTTGTTCTGTTTGATACTGTGATATTTTCTTGTTGGAACAGATGTATTAAATTTCTCAACCAGGATAAAAACAAAAACATTGGGTTTTGTAACAGCCAATCTCTTTAACTTCAATAGCGTCTCGAGCACTAGAAAAGGTTTATAGCTGAAGCAATTGTTTAATATACTGAGCCAAATTCTTATCTCAGTTATGCTTTTGAAAATCCTCTGAAATAAAAAAGGGTTACATTAATATAACTGAAAAGTCCCTATATAACCCATGACTACATAGTCCTTTGTACTGGGAATGGAAAAAATTGTTGATTACTTTTATAAAACAGAATAACCGAAAAGGTTATTTCTCTCAGTACAGCAGCATAACGATACCAAAATTGAGCAGGCTAGCCAAAGGGCAGTAAAATATCCAGTTCAGTGAGTGAGGGAATATTTAGAAGGTGGCAGGGGAGAAAATTAATGTAAGGACATTAGATCATTTGAAATATAAACAGCCTTCTAAATCAGTGTACACTATGTTCCCTCTTCCTTTCAAGGAGTTTCTAAACACCCACCTATTCTGATAAGCATTTCAGCTTCACACAACATACATGTTTATTGTGCTTACACACACACAGTCTTCTCTGTACCATACTATTTTTGTAAATACTGGTCTTTGGGACTAATTTCAGCCCTGGCATAAGTAGGCAAAGTTCTTACTGACTTCACTAGGTCTATTGTCTGCTTGCCCCAGACCTGAATGTGAGTATTTGTTAAACTAAAAATTCCTTGGAACAAGAAATATAACCTGTTAGTCTTGAGAGGAGTGGTGTCATGTACCAAGATGGCATTATATGAGTGACCTGTCATTTTGTATTTCCAGTATTTGTTTACTGCTGGCTATATAGCAGGAAATTTTATTTCCCGAGACTGAAATAAGATGAGCTAGTTTCTAAATCAGGGGTGGGCAATTATTTTAGGTGCAAGGCTGCTTAACAAGTTTTGGTCAACTGCCAAAGGCCCCTGGGGTAGCCCCGGCTCTTGACAATTGCCCCATCCCTTGTTGCCTACTCGGGACCAACAGTCCCATCCCCTAGTCCCTGACCCTGGCCATGGGAAGTCTCTCCCCTTGTCCTTGGGAAATACTTTTTTGGGAGAAACGGGTTGCCATCTTAGAACCAGAAAAAAACCAAATCATACACTAAAAGTCAAATATTCACTATAATATATTTTAATTTTATTACCAAAAATATTTTTGTCATGATTTGTGTTTGCATAGTGTATATACAAGTTATTGAATAACAACTCAAAAATAGATTCTTAGTTTTGTATATTGTGGGGGGTGTATGGCAGGGTGTGTGCGTGTATGTATATGTGTGTGTATGCACGTGTGTATGTGTGGTACAATGTAGGGGGGGTGTAGGGTATGTTGGTGGTTGTGTATATGTGCTGTGGGGGCAGGCTGTGGGTGTGAGAGAGGTTGGGAGTACACCCCTGCACTCCCCCCAAGGCACAGCAACAGGTGGGGCATGGCTCCAGCCAGCGCTGCACACTGCAGAAAGGGGCACAGGCTTTATTGGGCTGCCGCCACTCCCTGACACTCGCATGCATCCCCTGCGCTCGCACAGAACAGGAGGGAAGCCCCACGTGCTGAGGCCAGCTGCCTTTCCTGCCGGGGCTGTCAAGCACTGGAGAGAAGCCTCAGGCTGGAGCTGGTTGCCTTCTCCGCCCCTCGGGGGAAGGTGCCTGGGGCTTCCCTCCCCTGCAGGGAAGGCAGCCAGCTCCAGTGCCTGAGGCTTCTCTCCGGTGCTGTGTAGTCCTGACAGGGAGGGCAACTGGCCCCAGCATGTGAGGCTTCCCTCCCATGCCCGGCGACTGCAGGGGTTACATGCAAGTGGTGGGGAGCACCAATGATACAGGCAGCCTGGGGGAGGCTGCACTCCTTGCTATGATATGCAGTGCTGGCCAGAGCCATGCCCCACCAGGGGTCTGCACCCTGAGTGCCCCACTTGCTGCTGCTGCTGCTGCTACTACCTGCCAGGGCTGTGCGCCATAGGGAGGGGGAGTGTAGCAGGTCCCCACACTCCCCCTCTCTCCCTCACACCCCCATCCTGCCAACTCCACCTCCACGCTGCCACTGCCCTGTTCCCCTGGGCGTGGGCTCCATGCTGCCACCAGCCCCAGGCTCGTGCTCCCACCCAGCTGCAGCCCTGCCCCTACCGCTTCCCTACCTGCTGCCCGGAGCAAGCAGGAGACTGGGGAAGCAGAGCAAGTTGCCCCAGACTGCAGCAGCAGCTCTGCACAGAAGCTGCATGCTGGCTGGCTGGGCCCTTCCACCCACGAGGGTCGGAGCCAGGCATTAGGGTAGGTTTTTGGGGCACTGTGTACGCATGGGCGCCTCGCTTCCACCCTTGTGGGCAGAAGGGCTGGGTGGGGCACAATTGGGGTGCCCTGTATGCCAGATAAAAGTGTTTGGTGGGCCAAATCCAGCCTGCGGGCCATATTTTGCTCGCTCCTGTTCTAAATAATTAATGATCATAGAATCTATCACATATTGCTGAAGAAATCTTATGAATACTAAAACAAGCCTTTTATACAACTTAATATTCAAGAATTATACACCAGTATATTTGATGCAGTTTCTCTTGCATGAGCCCATAAAATAAGCCAAGTTGTGACTAGTTCAAATGAACCTAAAAATCAGAAATTCAGTCACCTCCAAATCTGTGCTAACGTTAAAAACCTTTCTGAATCGAGACTCCTTCCACCTTGCTAAGATTGAATTAGTTCCTCACTACTCTAAGTTGCCATTACTGTCAGACGTCTGCTACACCAATGTTTGTTAACCTTTTTAGGCTGAATGCACCCCTTGTCAGGCTCAAGGAAATTTGATAAAGGCACCTCTCAAAGTGTCAGCATTTCTTTTGTTGCAAAGAATTCAGAAAGACCACACCAAGTAAGAAATGTTTTTAACGCTATCAATTCTTATTTGAAATCTCTGGGTTTATCTTGTGTATCATGTCTTCACACCTGACAGTGCTAACATTGTGCAGCACAAGGTGTCACCCTTGAAAGGATCTCAAGGCACCCCAATGTGTCATGGTACCCTGGCTGAGAATCACTGTATTAGACCCTACCATTTACTTCCTTCAACATAATCATCACTATCAAACAGTCTTAAAGAATGACCATAATACCTTACTTTTCTAACAAACCAATGAGGATCTCCTATTTATTGTTACCTTTTTTTAGTGAAGGAACACCACAACAAAATATTTGCCCTCTCACATTCTACATAATAGATGCATGTGCTCTTATCAAAAAATAACAAGCACTGTATATTTTGCTTTGGCAGTGCCAGAAACATTGTGCAAGGTGAAATATCTTCTCTCAAAGAGATAGCATGTCATGTCAATCTGACTTGTTCCTGTATTAAAAACATGTATTTTTTCAAATTGTATAATGCATTATTTTTCCAGACATAAAGTGTATGACATACACCTTACCATACTTGTAGCTTTGATGTAAATATTATCTTTCAGATGGCAATTCCCATCATTAGGAATTACTATCCCTCCCAGTTTACTATCCAGGGCCAGATGTGAGGTTTGATCTGTCATCACAAGAAGTAGTCGCTTTGCTTCCTTGCGCCAACCAATATGGCTCTAAAATAAAAAGCAAAACACTGCAAGTGTGAGAATGAAATTTAGCTTCTTTGCTTCTGTAATGGTAAATGTGACTAGGAAAGGCAATCATAAAAGCTTCTTTTTCAGGTTTCTGCACTGCTTGAAACATAAGCACTGAATTAGAGTTTAGGCAGGTAGCCAAGTAGGTCAAAGTACTTAAAGCACTAATTCTTCCTATGCAGGGCCTTCAACATAATGGTCTGACCTTGAAAAGCATTTATGTGAGCAATCTTGCATATGCCTAAATCATTTGCAGGACTGCAAATTAGGTTCACAAGCTTACAAGAAACAGATTCTGGTAGTATCCTCTATACCTTATAAGCAAATTAAATGCTATGATATTTATTTTGCTTGGTTTTGAAGAATCACTTCTAGAATAAAACAAGTCACAAGCATATTGAGCTGTACTTGGTGTGTTAATACAACATAAATAGAAAACGACAGTTGTGATGTTGCATATCAACTTCTTCGGATGACAGTTATAAAATTCTTAAGAATGTATATTACTACACATATAAAACAAACATTCATCTACAGCAGTGCTTCTCAAAGTGGTCGCTGGTCTGCAGTGAGTTCTCAGGAAAGAAAGAAATATATTTTCAGAAGCATAACATTGATATGTCATAGCGCCACAGTTCATACATTCCAACACTCCAGGTGACGTCATGTTGTGCGAGGTGAGGAAAGAGAAAGAAACAGCCGGTCGCACATTTGTGTAACGCTGTTACACGCAGTTGCTGCCACCGGCTGAACCGGGCACCAGTCCCTAGCCCACTGGAAAAAAAATTGCTGGTCCGCCACATCAGATAGTTTGAGAAGCACTGATCTAGAGAACTGCTTTATAGCTAACATCCAAAAATGTTACATTTTCCCCTTATTTTCAATTTAGTATCTTTTCTTATAACTTGCTTTCACTGTAGTTTCTCCAAGGGAATTCAAACATACATTCTAGTAACCAAAGTTTTAATATTAAAAAAACACAATTATTGGTATCTTCACACATCTGTAGGGTGGGGAGCCTCTTATGATGCACCAGAAGCTGACTGTTTGTAAGGTCTCTACCACCAGCACAGTAAAAAATATCTGATAGGGCAGAATCATCAGAAGCAACAAGAATGCAAATATGTTCCCTGGTATACAGTTGTCAGGGGGATTTTCTAAGTACAGAAATGGGTGGAGTATTAACTCATGTTCTCTGGAATTTTACTTTGGTGCATAGCATAAATAGTTGACGAAGCTTGAATTTGAAAGCTTTGTACATAAAAACTATCTTCCATTCTTTTTCCTTTTATTGAACCCCCTCCATCATTCCATTTGACTTGTCACTCACTCATTTCCTCCTCTTCCTCCCACTTCGTTCACCACTGCATCATCTCTACTGCTCCCTCTGCAGAGCTGTCAAGTATCCTGCCTTGTGCAAGATGCACAAAATGTACTTCAAGGATGGTCAGCTGCTCCTCTTGACTATGAGGAGCTGCTGTAGGACCTTTTCTGAAAACAAGAGCTCTACTTCCCTTCTCACTTCATTTCCTGATTGATCTGAGTACAGAAGGAGCAGCTTGTGGTGGCTGTAGGTAATAAAGGTGAACAGGGTCTAGTGGCTCTCCAGCTTAAATGCCAGCATCTGTAAAGCCAGGTCACAGAATCACAAAATCATAGAAAAGTAGGACTGGAAGAGACCTCTAGAGGTCATCTAGTTCAACCCCCTGCTGAAGGCAGGATCATCTCAATCCTAATTATGCCATATAGGTTCTTGCCTAACCTGTTCCTTAAACTACACAATCAGCCTTGTTGCACAAGGCATATTGCCCAAATACACCAAACACACCCAAACCACAGGTAAAGCAGAGGGATGAGGACTATGCATTTCCCACCTTTGCAAGGACTGTTAAAATACACTTAAGAAATCCAAGGAGGAGGGATCATGGCAGAGAGCTTCGTCCAACTTCAAATCACCTGCCCAACACTTAGAAGAGGAGAAAAAGCTCTGCACTACTCAATGGGACCTTCCTTTTACTCAGTTTAAGCCAAGCATGTTCTGTAAAGACAGTCTTGACTCACCCTCCACAAATTTTCCATTCTATACCCAATTTCACTTTCAAAACTCAGAACCCACTTGACAACCCACCCTAGACTCCCTCTGGCCCACTCCAGCGAAGACTTGTGTAGTTGCATGTTGTACTATGCCACTGCCTGGGACTGGGTATGTTGACTACAAGCTCAGTATGGGCACAGACAATGAACCCTTTCAATCTTTGCATAAAAATCTCAAATGGTGTGGCACAAATCTTGTCAATTATGCCCTTCAGAAGTACAGAAATGGATTAAACACTTGAAATGTGGTACCTCTTTTCAAGCCAAAAGGAATGTAAAATTGCAGGATGGAGAAGAGAGGGCTGTTCAGCAATATCTTACATAATTAAAGCCACAACACTAAAAATGAATGAGAAAAGAGTGTATGAAACAGTAGGGTTTATTTCTCTTCATTGTTTTTCTTCACTTTCTAATTTGTAAATTTGGTAATTGGCAATACGCCTCTCAGAGCACATCACAAAGTCTACCGTGTTCAAAATTAGTGTCTATTAATATAAATTACAACTCATGTTTGTGGTTATAAATTGCACGCTGTTCCCATCAATTTTTATCCATAATTCAATTAACTGGAAAGACTCCCTATGCACATAGACGTTTCCATTCTGTTGTTCTTGGAGGCATACACTCCTTTCAAACTTGAATGTCATAAGTATGGAATGTGTTCAATGATAAACATTTAGTTGTGAGAAATCCTCCCAATGCTTCAGGATGATTTTTATAACAGCTGTGATCAAGATGTCTATATACTGTGATTTTTATTTACCCATTTTACAGTTCTTTGTCTTTTAAAAATAAAAATGAGGCCAACATTAGTATGAGCTGTTTTTCTAAATTCACCCACCAGCCAACGAAGTGTGTATAAATGGATGAAAGGGATAAAGTATTCTGACCCAAACCTTTCAACATGACCAGCACAAGTGCCCTCAGCCTGCAAAGTTAAGCAGGCAGTTACTGTATTATCTTACGTAGCAAAAGGTATGAGATTGGAAGGACATCTAGAGAATGTGAAGAGCAACTGCCCTACACTTTCTGGTGTCTAGACAAAGGTACTCTAGCCAACATCAGACTTTGCTCTCCCCATCCATCTTTTTTGCTGATTTAGTCCAGTATTGCTCAGTCTCCATGGGGCCGACATAATTGCAAACTATAAGTTGGGGACCACTGATGTAGATCTTTCTTTACTCTCTTCTAGTCTGAAATAGATGGTGATAATTCTGTGTCTAAAACTTGAGGTGATTTTAGTGTTTTACTTTTTAAAAAACAAACTCTTTAAAGTCTAAACTGACACTGAAATGCGGAAACCATGCAAGTAATTGACAGTTGATGACCAGATTCTATTCTACCTTAGGATACCTAAGACACTTTAGGTGTCTAAGTGGGTTTATGCACTTATGTGCAATTCCTTTCTACCCTGTTCAAGTTACTGAAAGGTAATGAAAGGGCCACAGGAACACAGGGCTGGGAGAGAACTCCCAAGGTCATCTAAGGCCAGCCCCCTCCTTAAGGCAGGATCTTCCCTGACTAAACCATCCCAGCCAAGTGTCTGTCCAACTTGCTCTTGAAAATTTCCGAGGATGTATACTCTACAGTTTATCTAGGCAGTCTGTCCCAGTGCTTGACTACCACAATCATAGTCAGAAAGTTCTCCAGACTTAATTTCCTCTGCTGTTGCGTGAGGTCATCCTGTCCCCTAGGCTTTTCTTTGTGGTCATATCTCCATCCTCTCCCATACTGTGCCTCTCTCATAGTGTGACTGTCATCAAATTCTAGCCACCCTGTCTCGGACTTCTCTTCTCCAGACAAAGTAACCCTAGCTTTTTTACCTTGCCTCCTAGGTCTTGCTTCCCAGACCCCTAATCATTTTTGTTGCTCGGCACTGAATTCTCTCCAATGTGTCCATATCTTTCTTGAAGTATGGGTCCCAAAACAGGACACACCACTCCAGGTGAGGCCTCACTAGCGCCGAATACAGTGGAAGAATCACTTCCCTTGATTTGTAAATGGCACTCGTATTGAAACAACCCAGTAGGCCATTAGCTTTTTTTGCAACAAGAGCACACTGATGGCACACAGTCATCTTATAGTCTACAATTCCCCTCAGGTCCTTCCCTGCAGTCCTGCAGCCCAGCCAATCATTCCCCAAGCTGTATCTGTGCATGCACATTGCATCTAGCTTGTAGCATACCATCATCTGATCATCTAGACTGAATCATAAAAAAAAATTAGTGTGAAGGAGAAAGACGCATCTTTTTGTATTAAGTTTTTCAGGGACTAGAGCAGGGACAAATAAGTTCACACCTAAGCCCTTAGACTGGCCCTTAGTTTTCAGATATTTTCTAAAATGGAGGATGTCAAACTTCAAACCACGTGCCCAACACCTAGAAGAGGAGAAAAGACTTTGCACTACTCAATGGGTCCTTCCTTTTACTCAATTTAAGCCAAGCGTGTTCTGTAAAGACAGTCTAAAAGTATCATGTGGAGGTTTATCATTATTACAACTTGATTTGCAAATATCAAACATTCTAAGTTTACTAGCAAAAACATTTCTTGTAATTACTAAACCAGAACACTCTGCCTTTACGTGAGTCAAGGTGGTTATTTTCCATCATGAGTAAAGATGGTTTTCAGGTCAGATATGATCCTTATTTACTCTACTGTACCTCTTCAGTTCAAATTATAGATTTCATAGACATTAGGGCTGGAAGGGACCCCAGAAGATCATCGAGTCCAGCCCCCTCATCATAATTGGACAAGTAAAACTGATTGGATCAAACAGTTTTATTGATGCTGATAATTCTGCAGTCAAATCCCCCATTGTTCATTCTTGTTTAGCCAGAAGAACCAACAGAACTGAGTAAAGAATTATTTTTTGTTAATAATTTAAAAGTATGGCTGCAATAACCCCCAAGGAACAGATTTTCTGAGTAGCAAAACATCATTAACAATAATGAATGAGCCATCCCTATCTGGTCCTGCCCCAGATTTTATAAAGCTTTGACTAATGGTTAAAAAAATGAGGAAATGCTTTTGTCAGGAAGAAAAACAACAGTAGGAGCTGTTACAACATCATAAGGCTGGACATCACTGACACTCAGATACCACTGACTCACAAATATGAATTTGTATCTGAACAGACAAATAAATGGCAGTTCAGAAGTCTCCTTACCTGGCACACAGCTGCCTGGAGCATGGCATCAAAACCCCCTTCAGGTGTATCAATATTCCCTGAAATTTTTTGTTTATTAACTGCATTTTTGAAGTCTGCTATATTGTCAGTCAGGGACAAGACATGAATGTAACCATGAGGAGGCATGCAATCTAAATTATAATCACTGTAAGCAGAAAAAAGACATAATCAAATTTTATATTCTTATTTGAAAGGAATCTTAATAACTGCAATAGAAATCAGGTTTTATGAAATATTTGAAAATATACTTAAATATTTAACACAGATTGTATATTTTTAAAAATATGCAATAATTTCATGATAAAAGGTCTTTATTAGGTGCACTAGGGCTATAGCTATTTCTTATATATATTGACTAAAACAAAGGGTTTTTTGGGTAATTATTTAAAAGTGTATCTAATAGTTCATAAAACTACAACAAATAACAATAGTAAGTATGCAACACTGCTGTGCACAAATTAACATACAAAATAAGGATGGTAAGAGACAGTACCACCTCATGCAGAATGTTATTTGTTTCTGAATCTTTAAGGAATGAAAGAACTAGACTTAACATTCAAATCTCTAAGTATCCAGATAACACTAAGGACAGCTTATCTTACCACCACACAAATCAGTCTACAGGATCAAAACCTCAACCAGCAAATCTAAGGGCCTAGATACGCAAGTATGATACTTCCTGATATTAATGCGTTACCTAGCCATGTGGATATAAACC